GACATCTCAGGCTCCAGGCTAGTGAACCGGAATGTATATTTTTTGGGAAAAATGTGTGTGCGCTTAAAATAGAGGGACCCCAAAAAATGAGTGGTTGCCCTGTGGTTTCTCTCTGAGCCAAATCCAAACAGGGTACCCTCAAAAAAGACACAACCAAAGGCTTGGTGCAACTGACTGGCGAACTGCTAGCCATTCGAGGTAGGTACCGCTTAGCAGATACAAGCCCAGACTCTCAATTTTTTTTGGCCCCTTTGGTGTCTCTTGCTTCTTCACTTCTCCGTTTTCCTTTCCTCTGCCCCACCCCACTTCCTCCCCAGGCGCTCCAGCCGCCCCCACCTCCCCAGCCCCCCCCCACCTCCCCCCCGCCAGCTGGCGCCCAGCGTGCCGTGCCTGGGCGCGGCGCTGCGCGCCGCAGGCCGCGGCGGCTGGCGCGCCGCGGCCGGGCTCTTCCAGCGCCTGGCGCGGGCGCGGGCGGCGCTGGACGCGCCGTGGGCGGAGTCGCCGGGGCACTTTGCTCGGGGTGGAAAATTTCGCGGGTCGAATTTTCGGGCCAGCTGCCACTGTCCCTTTGTTTCGGTGTTTTGCTTTTTCCATGGTGCCCAAAGATGAGCTTTGGGCTTTTTGGCTCAGGTCATGGGTCAGAAATTGTGGCCCTGAGCCCTGAGGCCTTGTTACAGCGTTGAGCGGATCCAAGATGAGCTCCCGGAAATGGGCTTCTCAAGGTGGAAACCCAACTAGGGCATGGAACTCCATTTCCCCGAGTTCGATTTTGGAACTCAAGGGAGTTGCAACACAAGTCACAAGTCCCCCACCTGTTTTGGGCGGCGGTTTTTTTTGGCTTTGGGGAGCTTTCAGGCTCCCTTTTGGTTTTTGGCTTTTGGCTTCCTTACGGTTTTGCACCTTTGGCTGTTGCCCCGGTTTCTCCCAGGCGAAAGCGCGCTGCGCCCGAATTTGACAATGTGTTTCGCTGCCTCTGACTTTTCTCGTGGGTGCAGCTTTGCAGCCTTCCTTCGACCGTGCATGTCATTCCATTGCTCATCATACTGTGGATGGACAAAATCCTGCACCACCTAAGAAACCCTGGTTTGTGATGATTCCCCTGTAAATACCAGCGCGCCATGGTTTCTTATGGTCTCAAAGTGGTGCGAAATGGATTTCGTCCATCCACGGCCGATTTCTGACTGCCCCGAGTGTCGGGACCCGGGTGCTGAGTCGGGAGCGGATCTGAGGTGCCCAGCTACGAGACGCTGGCGAAGAGCTGTGCTGCTCGGCGAGGGTCGGCGATGGTCTCCCAGCAATTGGTGCCCTTCCTCACCAACTTCTTTGGTTGGGAGATTCGGTTCCCCTACTAAAATAGACTACAGAAAAAGTTGGCACCCTTATTCTAACCTCTCTGCTGGAGGACCTAGGTTGAGTTTGGAGGCGTTCTGCGATGTGGTTGTACAAAATGCATCTCGCACCAGCAGGTAGGTGGCTTCTCACAGTATTTCGAGGGTTTCATCCATGCCAAGTGGTGCAGGATTTCGTCTACCCGCTGCAAGTGGATGCCATCTGCGAGTGATCAAATTGTCACGAAATTGGCCCACTGAAAGGGTCATGTTCCACAACCATGGTGGGGCTGCCTTTCTAAGGGGATCCTCAGTCATAGTGAACTCGATTAGAACATAACGAACTCTCAAAGAAAGGACTCCTTGCTAGTTTGTATGGCACTTAAGAACCAGTGCCCTTCACCAGGTGTCGTATTGATGTTCCTTTCACTCTTGCCCACACGAATGTGCGCTATCCGCTGCCTATCATCCAAACATTCTTCTTGTTCTCGAAGGTATCATTCAGGGAGCCAAGCCAACCTGATTCAGCGTGTTGAGTTTGCTTAGACTCTGGGCAGTTCTTACCAGCGTACTTAATGTGACCTTGGATCTTGATCGCAATGCATGCCTCTTTGCCCCACAGTGGGTCTTGCAACATCTAGTGAGCCCAAACAAGATCTTCCTTTCAGCATCTTCAACCTCTCATACGCAGATTTACAGTCACACCCACACGCACACACACACAAGCACACACACACACACACATGCGCACACCATACACATGCACATACGTACATCCATCCATCCATACATACGTACATACATACATGCATACATACAGGGAAACAGACGGACGCACGGACGGACACACAGACAGAGAGAGAGAGAGAGAGAGACAGAGAGACAGAGAGGCAGAGAGACAGAGAGACAGAGAGACAGAGAGACACAGAGACAGAGAGACAGAGAGACAAAATGGCGACAGAGACAGACAGAGAGAGAGAGAGAGAGATTGGCAGACAGACGGACGGGCAGACAGACGGACAGACGCACAGAGGGACGGTCGGACAGACGGACAGACAAACAGACAAACAGACGAGCAAACACACAGACACACACAGACACATGCATACACACAGACACAGACACAGACACAGACGCAGACGCAGACACAGACACAGAGAGAGACAGAGACACAGACACAGGCACAGACAAACACAAAGCATATACATATACATACACGCATACATATACATGCACACACATGAATGCATGCATGCATGCATACATGCATGCATGCATACATACATGCATACAAACATAAATACATAAACACATACATACACACATACACACATACACACACACACATACGCCCATACATGCATACATGCATACCACATTCACACATACATACACGCATACACAGATGCACAGATACACACATACAAACATGGCGCACACACGGATACACATACACATTACACAGATACACAGATACACAGATACACAGATACACAGATACACAGATACACAGATACACAGATACACAGATACACAGATACACAGATACACAGATACACAGATACATACACACATACACACACACATGCATGCACACATACACATATACACGCATACATGCATACACACACACAGGCACATACACATACACACACACACAAACACACAAGCACACAAGCACACAAACACACAAACACACAAACACACATACACACATACACATGTACACAAAGATACACAGATGACCTACCTTCCGACCTACCTACCTAACCTACCTACCTACCTGCCTGCCTGCCTGCCAGCCAGCCAGCCAGCCAGCCAGCCAGCCAGCCTACCTACCTACCTACCTACCTACCTACCTACCTACCTACCTACCTACCTACCTACCTACCTACCTACCTACCTACGCACATACACACATACACACACACATACACACATACACACATACACACGTACACACGTACAAACACATACACACATACTCACACACAACCACATACACATATATATATATACACTCATGCACACGTAAACACATGCACACATACGCACATGCGCACATACATGCACCTACACTTACACAAAGCACATCTGCAGTGGGCCGTTTGACCTTTCTCCCCAAGGAGCGGGAGGCACAGTTCGGATGGCTGCTGGAAGTGCTGGGGGACTGCGAGATGCCTCTCGGGCTGCTGGCTTCAGCTTGCGCCCAGCGGTTTACGGGGGGGGGACTTTTGGGGCAGCTTTTCATGCTTGCTGGGAACCAGTTTACATCTTTGCTTATGGCGGTTTGGTGGTTGAAATCTCCACTTGACTACCAAAAAATGTTGTTTTGCTCCCCTTCCAACGTCAACCAAGTTTTGGGAGTGTCTTACAATTGGAAAGGCCCAACATCGGTGGTTTTCGTGTTCTTGTTCACAGCTGAAACCACCAAGAAGGGTGCGTTTGGGGGTGCCAGTACATCACCGACGGTAAAACTGATCTTTCGAAGGGGGAAGCCGGGTTCGACCTGGTTTTGGAAGTTTCGAAAGGACGCCCAAGGAAGCCGATGCTGTCAGTTCGGAGATGTCCCGAATTTGGCGCGATTGACACTGCCTGAGTTGTGAAGGAGCCTTTCACGTTGGCAAGTTGCGATGTCAGCCGTGGAGCCGGATGAGCACAGGATCTTGCTGCTCAGTAGGATCCCCGAAAGCGGTGTTCCTGTGGAGTTTTCTTGAGTCAATCTGAAAATGGCACCCTCAAACAGAAAGCAGGCGCCAAAAAAGAGGCAACCCTTAGAAAACATGATCGCCAAATTTTAGGTTTTGGTGAATGTTGCAAGCTTGAGGATGTTGTGAGCAGCTCTAAAATTAGCATCCGGCAGATGATCACGGAGAAACCAGAACTGTGCTGTGTAGAATTGTTCCTGGGCCCCAAAAAGCACTTTCCTTTTTGGTGTATATAGTTTCTCGCTTGGTGTAGAATTTATAGCAAGCTTTTTTGAATGTTCAAAGGGTGTCAATAGAGGGAACCCTGAAAGTAGCGGGTTCTCAGGGAAGAACCCATGAACCATCCAATTGTTTTCTTGTTGGGACTCGGTAGGTTCACTCCTTCCCCTTCTTGACTCCTTGAGAGGCAAGGTGCTTCAGACATTATGCGACATGGTTGTCTCACATGGCTGTGCCCTTACTTTTTGAGCTTGGGACTCAAAGAGACCGGGAGCCTAGCCAGGGATGATTCAAATCTGTATCAAGAAGCTCAGCAAGATCATTCATTCCGTGGACAAACCTCTGCACTATTAGGTGCCTGCTGAAAGTGAGTTGTGCCGTCTTCTTTCCTGCGCTGCCGAGGTCTTGGCTTCGGCAGGTGAAAAAGGAGCTTGCAGTAAGAGCTGGGGGTGGGCAACAGTGGGCGGGTGCTTGTGGGAAAGTCAAGGGGACTAAACCCAACTGGAGTTATGGCTCAAGAAATTGTACCCAAAATGGCCCCTTGGTAAATGGAAGCAAAGAGTATATCGAACCTGCGCTTGGCCCTAGCTGTTTAACTTTGAGCCACAACCGTCTACTTTCACCCAACTGTAGAGTGGTTTCAGGAGATGAGCGTGTTGCCGCTTTCCACTACCCTTAGCTGACGACATGGCAGTCGGGGTGGGGGGGGGTGGGGGTCGGAAGGAAGGCACAGAGCGCATGGCAGGTGCCACAGACGCTCTACGTGGAGAAGCTCGTTGAAGTCCCAAAGGCAGGGGAAAGTCTCTTGTCTGAGGGATCCTTGTTCAAGGGAGCTCCTTGATTCCCCAGCGGAAAGTTGGGGGCTCTCTGCCCAGATAGCCTTGGAGTAGCTCCCGGTTAGGTTTTTTTTCCGGCCGGGTTCTGGCGGTTGCTGGGGATACCACCTGGGCCTACTTTTCAAAAGGGGGGTGTCAGAAGGTGGCCTCCAAAGCGGAAACTTGGGTTTCCTGAGGTTGCCTATTGGGAGGGGTTATTTAAGGGTTTTGTTGCCTAAGAAGGGGTTTGTACAAGCATGCTTTTACCCTAACCGCCTCCCCAAAGGTGGGGGCTCCTTACAAAACAGCCAGGGCCGAGTTTCTGAGACGTGTGCGCTCACTCCTCAGCTTCTCCTGAAGCGATCTGAGATGGGAAAGGCAGCTGACCAGCGGCCAACTTTTTGGGTTGAAAGAGTGAACCCCAAGCCCAAAGCCCCCAGCCCTCCCGACAGGTTCAGATGGTGGATGTCATGAAGCAGGTGAGCAAGCCTATGGTGAAGCAGGTGACAAAGCAGGCGAAGGGCCGAGGGGAGGCTCGAGGCGTTCTACAAGAATTCTAGTCCCAAGGCTTAGGGCATTCCCATTTTTGGAGGGGCGAACACCTCGTGTACTCAGTTGACTCTCAAAGTCTGTGCTTTCTCGTGGCCGGGATGGTCATGACTGGGTCCCTGACTTTGGGTCAGGGGGGGTTGGGTGGTGAAGCCCCCAGCGTTTGGCTCGGTTGCGGGTCACTCTTTGAGCATTGCAGGTGGTGAAGCCCATCTACGAAGTGGTGGAGAAGATTGTGGAGGTCCCCATCACCACCATCCAGGAGCGAGCGAGACGAACATATCTAGTCCATTGTCAGATCAGACTAGCTGAGGGTAACATATGCTGTGCAGAGTTAACTTGGGAGAAGGGGGGCCTTCATATTCTTTTTCCCCACAAATGCCAGGACCTACTAAGATTCCGATAGAAAGTCAGCGGCCTGACTAGATTTAGCACACACATCAGGTGCTCACCAAATGTCCCAGAAACGTGTCCGTTACTTGACTAGGTTGCCGGACAAGCCTCTTTGGCTCGCTCTTGAGGAAGGGGCATGCCCTTGTTCCAAAAGACAACATGTTTTATAAAGCGAAGGAGGTATTAGTTCAAGATGGTGTGTCTTGCCTTGATCCACTTGAAACGGTTTGGATGCGGTTTTAGTGGATCCATGCCTGTGGGATATTGCCAGAGTACTAAAAGAGCACTGAATAAGTACTTAAAAGGGGGGGAAGAACAGGTGAGTTCCACAAACAGGCGCATTTCTACTGTTTTCTAGAGAAGCCAGCTGACCTGTGGTCAAACCCTCCAGTCCACCAAAAAAAGCTTATTCCATGTTGGGAATAACGGAAGAACGGTCCGAGGGCGTCGAAGTCGGCGGTGGAAGCCTCAGGAGCAGATTGTGGAGGTGCCCAAGGTGGAGTACGTGGAGCTGGTCCGCGAAGTGCCGAGGCGCGGCGGGAGACGGCGCGGCGGGGTCTAGCGGACGAAAAATCCACGCCAACCCCGGCACTTGGGATGCATGGAGCCACATATGTATATATATATATATGTATGTATATCTATATATATATGTATATCTATATATGTATATATATATATATACATACACAAAGAACGGTTGGCAAACCACCAAGCCCAAGTGGTGCAAAATGGATCTAATGAATTGGAATGGGGGCTTGGGGCACCGGCATGCCAAGAACATAATAGTTGCATCGCCACTCACAATAGTCGAGACTGGGCCGGCTTTTGCAAAGGGGAGGCGAACCTCGGGGTCGGGAAAGGAACTGAACGCTTGGGCAACACTTGCTGCTTGCTTGAGCTATGGCGTATCTCGGCTTGAAATTGGTGATTCGCACCCCGTACAAGTAAGCACGGAACATTGCAGGTAAGGAACGTTGCAAGCAAGAAGGTACAAGGGAAACCTGTAATTTGCCATGGTGTGTGGTGGTTGGCCTGCTTACTCCACATTTTGTTGAAATCACCGACAGGTTTATTTTGCAGTTTAGAGACTCCGAAGACTAACATCTACTTACTCTCCTGCAATCTATCATGGAACCCCCCCAAGGGAATCTCTCAAAGCCCAGATTCATCTAAGCAGGATCCTGCAAGTTCTGTGTTCGGTTCCATAAAACCCACGGATCGCACGGTTTCTTCGGGTTTCCACGTCAAGTTGCGGGAGAAGCGCGTGAGAGGTTTGGTTCGAAGCTAGGCCCGAGATCCAGAAGGTGGAGAAGCAGGCGATTCGCGCAGGGCTCCGGAAAGGGCTTGGCCTAAGCCATTTTTAGTTGCGTCCGAAATTTGTGTTTTTGTTGCGGCAATGGATATGTCTAGTATTCAGGTATCCAAACAGGTGGCGACGTTTTGGAATCTAACACGGAACCCCACAAAATGACACATCAAGGCTATACATCTACATATATATATATACATGCTTTCCAGGGAGTGAGAGGGGTACCAGCCACGGGCACGTTGAGCTTGGCAGTCGCTGAGTTTGAGGACATGGCTCCCCGCCCAATTTTTCAAGCTTGGGGGCCGATCCAGTTTCATATCTCCAACTCGCTTGCCATCCTCAGAGGATGCCCTAAATCCTAAATGGTGGAAGGGACGCAGATTGCGTTTTCCCACAATCTACAAGCGTTTTGTGGTTGGATGCGGGTTCGCTTGCAATTTCCGGCTCCAACATTTCAACAGGGAACCCCGTCTCAAAACTGGTTTGGGACATACACTTCCCAAGTTTCCCCCACATGATGTCCGCCGGCGGGAAGCAATTGAATATCATACTGTGAAGACCTGAGCGGGGTATGCGGAAAGCACATTTCGCCGTGATCCTCACACAATCTTCGCGCGGCTTCGCCGAAAGTCGTCTTCCGCCGATTCCACTTCTAGGTGGAGAAGCCGGTGATTCAGTGCGTGGAGAAGATCGTCGAGGTGCCCCAATACACGGTGCAGGACCCGGATCGATCGTGTTTCGAGCCGTTCCGAAGAGATGATCAACATTGGGAAGTACTCCATCCAGTTTGAACCTCACAAGGCAATTCCGGGTTTGGACCATTTTCCTTTTTTCAAGGGACCTCCAGGGTGGGTTTCGCGTGGACTGGGTCTAACGGGTTCTTTCAATTCTCCCCAACCCCAAAAAGCCGAGAGCCACGTTCTTCTGACCTCGCTATCTGCTCTTTGGAGCAACTCTATTCGTGGCTTGCTGGGATTTGGTGGCTCGTTTGCCAACGGGGGGAGCTCAGCAACCCAACCTACCGTGGCTTGTGGATGTGCTCCAAACAATCAAGCTCCCCACCAGCTCCCCAGAAAAAGGGTCTTCTCACCCTCAGAAATGGACATGGTGCGATTGGGCACCGAATTCCCATCGGCGGATCCGTGCAGCGGGATGCCAGGAGTGCATCGTGGAGGTGCCCCGGGTCGAGACCCACGAGGCCCGGAGCCGGAGAAGAGGGATAACCCAACATGGGTTGCCCGATCGGTAAGTGGAAACACGGGAATTCCCAACACCTGCGGTGAAAACCCCTCCGATCGTTTAATTTTGAGCCACACCCATGTTAGCAAGTGGGTGTTTGTTCTTGTGTGTGGAGCTGGTGGCCGCAATCTTTGGGTGGAATTAACCACAAGGACGCCGACCATTGAAAGGGGGGCGGGCAATGGCCCAAGCTTGGCTTTAGCTTTTTTAGCGATGGTTTGATCATTTGCTCTCGAAACGGGACAAGCAAGTGAGCCAGTACACAACAAGCGCAGCAAGCCATGAACATGCCGACTTGAAACACGAGCTCCGCAGTCCATTTCTCTTGGAGACTGAAGCCTCCACCCGTACGCGCAACATGGGTTTGCTGGGCGTGAAAGCCGGCTCCAAGCGATGGCTAAGCACAGACGTATTTTGGGCCATACCGCGGTTTACCGCTTCTCCGTTTTGGGAGGGGAGATGGTATGAACAACATCAAGCCATTGAACGGTACCTCCCTGCAAATCAACATAAAGCAAAAGGAGGAGGTTCCACGAAGGATGAGGGCTTTCGTTCCATGTTAATCTGCAGCCCAAGGTGTGTCCCCGGAGCTTTCCTGAATACGGGCCAACCAGCGCTGCCCCGCTTGCAAGCGGATGGACCAGAGCCGTCGCCTTGCCTTCGAAGCAACGGCCCTCGGCTTTGTCTCAAGAGCGGAGCGAACCTTTCGGACCCCCCCCCCCCAGTCGTTGGGAAGGGGCAGGGCTCGGAGGTATTCGTCCCCTTTCATCAAGTTGAGCATCATGTCAACATATGGCTGTGGCTCAAAAAACCGGAATTCCAAAATGGGTGGCCCGATCGGTAAGTGGAAACATAGGAATTCCCAACACCTGCGGTGAAAACCCTTCCGATCGTTGAATTTGAGCCAATATTTTTTGCTTTGGATACCAGGGAGCTCAGTTTCAGTTGGCCCCTGGGCTTCAGTCTCCGCGAGATGCGAACGTGCCGCAAGGTGGTGAAGCAAGTTCCGCGGGTGGACGTGCAGGTGGTGGACAAAGAGGCCCCCGGTTTTTGGAAGGAAACGGTTGCCAGACTCAGCGACCGTCGCTATTCCCTGTGATCCTTAGCGTGGGCAACCGCCAAAATATTCACTGTGATCTTCTGTAGTCAAGGGAATGGCATGGCATACACTCGCCAAGTTACCAGCGGAAACTGCGGGGCTCGCTTGCCCACTTTCTACTAGCAAAGGTTATCCCCGCAGAGTCGTCAAGCCTTATAGTTTATAGTCTACAGTTGTCAAGGTCCCCCCCAATCGACACTGCCTGATCCTAATATAGGCTAGCACTTGCTTGACTACTCAGCCTCAATAGGGTCCCTTTTGGCGTGGTGTTGGTTTTTTTGGGGGGTTGCCAGGTTGCTTTTTTGTGGTTCCAGGGTTTTGAAAGTCGACTGGGGTCCTTCCCTTCCTTGCGCGGAGACTTTTGTTGGGGTTATTCACCCAGACGCCGATTGGGAGATTTGGTCTTCCAGTGGAGTAGCGTCCAAGATCCCCATCGGCCTGGGTTCATGATCTGGTTGAATATCGGTTTTATTAGCAAGCGTATATAAGCTTCAATCACCGTTTGTTGTACAACCAAACGTCCATGGATTTTGTTTGCTCGCGTAAGGTTCCTGAAAGGAACCCGCCAAGGTCAAGGAAAGTTGTTCTCGAATGCCTGCATGATGTGTTGGCAAAAGACAGTGAGACACTTGCGTGATGGATTTGGTGCAGACCACGCTGTGAACTGCATGCAGCATACTGGATGATTGAGAAGCAATGTCCCAGAAGGCTTCTGGACCGGAGTTCTCCGTTGAGAGTGCCAGCCGCAGCTTTCCCAGAGCCATGGTTTTGTTTTGTTCATTGTCCCTTGGTTTCATGCAGAGTTCCCGAGAGCTGATTTCTCAGAGGGCCAGGACCAGGGTTTGGTGGTTTATTAGGCTTTGCGTTCAAAGCCCGTCCAGCTGGTTTCACCTGTGGAACGGCCCAGAGGCGTCCAGAGGGGTCCGAGCACGTCGTTGCTTTGAATGGTCCCTTGCACGTCTTGCATGGAGAAAGCGCGTTGTTTTTCTTCTTTTCTTTTTTCTTGGCTTTCGCCGACGGGGTCAGGTGAAGAAGAGGGAGATCCAGTACATCGAGAAGATTGTGGAGGCGTGCGCATTTGAGCTGGGAGAAAGCGCGGCACGTGGTACCCAACCAGAAAGGAAGAGAGCTGGAGAGGGGCATAGAGAGAGACATTGAGCAAGGGGGGCACTGAGAAGAGAAAGATGGATAGAGAGAGAGAGAGAGAGATAGAGTGAGTACGCAACTTATTGCAAGACTCAACAGCTCTCCGTCTTACAAATAATCACAGACACTCCTGACAGGTTCCTCAGATCGTCTACGAGGAGCGAATAGTTGAGGCGCGGGTTTGTTGTCAAGAGCTTTTCCTAGATGCCCATAGAAAGGAGGTTGTTTTCGTCTCGGCACCCGTTTCGGGCTTGCTTGAGAGGAAGCCAACAGACCTAAGGGGAAGCCCACGCCCAGAGGGGTTCCCCGTTTCGAAGACCCAGAACCTGCGCTCAAACGGCGCACGGTGAAGGTGGAGCCGCTTTCGCTGTGATACTTCCCTTTCGGGAGCCGAGTTCCTTCCCGATAGCAGCCTGATACATTCAACCGTGGGGCTCGGCAGTTCCCTTGACGTTCCAAGAGTTCCCTACGGCTCCCTCCAAAGAAAAGCCCCACGTGCAGATTCCGCGCATCGAGTACCGCGATGTCATCAAGCAGGTGGGTCAGTGGAAAGGGTCGACGCCAAGCCGCCCGTGCTGTCGGTTCCCGGCTTTTTTCCTCTTCTTTGTTTTTGTTTGGTTCTTTTCAACCATTCTGCCTGCGGCTGCCCATGTTTTGCCAAACTCCCAAAGCTAAGGAGGTTCGATGAGAGTGTTTGCAGTCGCCAGATGGTCGCAGGTGTTGAATATTGCCTGGCATCTCTTTTGAAATTATCTTACACCTTGAGCTTCGCTGCATATGGACCAATATCAACATGTTAGTTTTGGTTGGAGGCAAACGCTAAGGTGGCTGTGTCTCATATTGTGTTGCTTTCCTTACTGATTCCATGCACTCCACGAGAGCTTCAGGCGCTTGGATGCCAAGGCACTTGCATAGACCTGGAATCCGCAAACAGCCCGGGACCACCCATGCCTCAGGTGCCCAAAGCAGTTGTCCAGTACATTGACAAGAAGGCCGCCTACTTGGGTCTGGGTCATTTTTTTTCCAGCAGGATATGGACCGCAGATGACATGTCCGTGGTTCGCCCTTTAACCAGGGCGAGCAAGCCATTTTGGGGTTACCCTGTTTCTAAGCCACAGCCATTTGACGGCCTGTTCTCTGCTGGCGTGCTTCGGGGCAACGCCGGGTGTTCTGAATTTGCTCGCCACTTGCGGGGATTGCTTGGCACGGACCAACAGAAGAAGCGCCCCAAGTACTCAGACCCAAAGGTGCCTTTCTTGAGGGCTCCGTTACTTAACGTGAGTCAGTCTTGACGAAGGTTCAACGTCACCCTGTCATTTACAGTCAAGAAATCACCAGGAAACAGGGGTGACTCACCCAAAACCCATTGGGGACACAAGCCTCCGGGCGTTTCTGGCGACGTTTCAGGTTGCGTCAGGTTCCTTTCATAGGGAGCCCTTGTTTTTGGTTGGTGAGCCATTTTTGGTTTGCTTAGAATCACAAAATAGGGGCTCTAAAAATCGGGCGATGCTCCTTTTGACAATGCCTTTAAGCCACCCCCCAAATTGGCACCCTCAAAAAATACGACCCAATATCGACTCCAGCTCAGCTCGTTTCTACCCTTTCATGGTTGGTTTGAAAAGAGCACCAAAGGGAGAACCTGCCATTTACGGGGGTCACCTATTTTGAGACCCACCCATTTCGTCCTAGTTGTGTCTGCAAAAGGGAGCGAGCTTAATGAGCTGGCCGCGCATTGGCGCTCGGCGCATCGGCCCAGCCCGCGGTAGGTGCCAAAGCACGTCATCGAATACGTGGAGAAGATTGTGGAGGCTGGGGAGCATGGTGCGGATTGAAAGGGAATCATGTTCTCTTGTCCTTTGTCGAAGCGTTTTTTTCCCAACAGCTGGATAGGCTGCGGTGTGGTCTGGGACGGCTCTGAGGAAAGGTTCCTGTGGGAAGGCACGGAGCGGTTCCGAGGAGAGTTAGGCAAGGTTCCGTGAGGGTTCCGCGAGGGCGCAGGGCTCCACGGGGCGGTTCCGAGGAGGGCTCTGCAAGGGTTCCGGGGACGCGCGGGGCGGTTGCACGGGTCGAGGAAGGTTTCGCGGGGGTTAGGAGGGTTCGCCCCAAGGACGGCTCCGGTTAATGTTCCGGGGATGCATATGCCTTGGGGATATCAACGGCGTGACGGGATGTGGGGGAAGTTTCTTTG